CCCTCACATCCGCACCACAACTGGCACCGCCTTCCATCACCTCCGGAACATCGCCAGACTACGGCATTACCTCACCCCTCACGCTGCTGAAACCCTGGTCCACGCCTTTGTCACCTCAAGGCTGGACTATGGGAACTCTCTCCTCGCCGGCCTTCCCGCCACCTCCCTCCACAAGCTGCAGGTCATTCAGAACTCTGCAGCTCGTGTACTGTCCCGCACCAGGCTTCGGGACCACATCACTCCCACCCTCGCTCGCCTCCACTGGCTCCCCATCCCCCAGAGGATTGATTTCAAGATCCTCATCCTCACCTACAAGGCCATCCACGGCCTTGCTCCCTCCTACCTCTCCGACCTACTATCCCCCTACCTACCTGCCCGTACCCTCCGTTCCTCCGGCTCCGGTCTGCTCCACGTCCCCCGCCCCAATCGCCCTACCATCGGTGGTCGGGCCTTCAGCCTCTCAGCCCCAGGCTCTGGAACTCTATCCCCCAGTGCCTTCGCCTTGCTTCTTCCCTTTCCTCCTTCAAGGCCGGTCTCAAAACCTTTCTCTTTGACCGAGCCTTCAGCTCCCCTCTCGACTCTCTTCCCCCTCCTCGCTCCCTCCCTCCCCTCACCCTGACCATTTCCCCCCCCTCCTCCCTCGCTTCCCTCCCCTCACCCTGACCATTTCCCCCCTCCTCGCTCCCTCCCTTCCCTCCCCTCACCCTGACCATTTCCCCCCTGCTCGGGTCATGACCCAACTGTGCAGCGCCTTGGGACGTCCTCCTGACGTGAAAGGCGCTTTATAAATGGAATCTTGTTGTTGTTGTGAAGAACATTCCTCAATGGAGCTACATGATATAATTCTCCTATTAGCAAGCAGCAACGGATCATGCAATTTTTACAAACAGGGCCTGTTGTACATTTCCCTATTATAGTGAAGGAACCATAGAAGATCCAAGTTAAACAAAAAAGTTACCTTAAACCAAGTCGATATTCAGTGAAATTATTATAATATTTAAATAATTTGAAACTGTAGTATCACATTTCAGTGCTTGGAATGATCTGGGATCCAGTGGGAGTGGACTGCCTTTATAAAATGTTGAAAGATAATGTGAGCGCCAGTTGAAGTCTTCAGCAAGGCAAAGGTGGAAGTCAGTATTCTACTGTTGTATAAATATGTCTCTAACCTGAGCTGAGTTGTTCCCGGAACTTCAGCTATTCAGAGACATGCCAAGGGTGTGAGTGGGGAGGTGAGGGAAAGGAAATGCCCCTTTAAAACAAAAGAATCTGTTGAATGATGTTGGTCATGAATCATTCGCAGCAGTGAACTACTTTGAGTGGGTCACATGTAATGTACAACACTGTGTTGAGGGAGACTTCCATTGTGTGCACATACATTTCTCCAGTGCTATTTTATCTTTACAGTTCACAATCTGATCTTTACTTTCAGCTATATTGTGTTTGGTGATTGTTTTGAGTAGGCAAGTTAATTATTATAAAAGGAAAAAATACTGCAGATGCTGGAAAGCCACCGAAACCCTCATCCACGCATTTATTATATGTCGGCCCAACTATTCCAATTCCCTGCTTGTCGGCTTCCCAACTCTTCCCTCCACAGGCTGCAGATCACCCAGAACACTGCAGCTTGTGTCCTCTCCCGTACCAGGCTCCATCACCCTATCACCCCAGCCTCCCTCGGCTCCACTGGCTCCACGTCCTCCAGAGGAGAGGATAGAGTTCAAAATCTTCGTCCATGCCCTCAAAGCCATCCAAGGCCTTGTTCCTTCCTTCCTTATCTCCTTGCTAATCCCTCATCAACCTGTCCACTCCCTGCACTCAGCAGGCTTCGGCCTGCTCAACGCCCTGGCCCGCCCCACCATCGACGGTCCGTCCTTCAGCCTCTCTGCCCCCACCCTTTGGAACTCCATAACACAGTCCCTTCACCTTGCTCCCTCCTTTGCCTCCTTTAAAGCACGTCTCAAGACCCTCCTCTTCGACTACAGCTTTGGCCACCCTCCTATCCCTATCCTCCCTGCCCTCCATCCCTCCTGATCTCAATCCCCTGCTCGGGTCTAAATCCCTGACTGTCCAGCACCTTGGAACGTCCTCTCAATGTGAAAGGCGCTATACAAATGTAATTTGTTGTTGTTATTCCTGCCTTGGAACAAAATCATAAGTTTAGAGATAGGCTTTAGATAAGTTTAGATATATACTGTACTTGATTCCTTAGTTTCATCATCATGTTAAAGTACATTTATGAAAGTTTAATTACCTATTTCTGGAGAATTATGCATCTTCCTCAATAGCTGGTTATCACAGCATTTTGAATTCAGATTTTGAATCCTGCAACAAAGCCGTGCATAGTGCAGCCTAACCTCAGATCTGTCCTTTATATTCCTCTCTTCTCTTTCCCTTCCTTCTGTACATCTGAATGTGAGACGAAGAAAGTGTTTTTGCTCTTTTGTCAGCTGACAGTCTTGCGCGTTTTATCAACTATTTTGGTCTCATCTTATTTAAAACTAAATTAAGGAAACAAAACTTCCATTGTTACAGTGCCTGATCACATTGAAATTTCTCACAGTGCTTCGCCAACAATTACTGGTAAGTGAAGAACAGCATGATCCTGCAAACATCCATGAAGTGATTGACCCAGTAAATCTGGAGGTTGATCAGGATACTGGGAGAAATTTTCTTCTCCTCTTGAATAATGTAAAGGCATCTTTCACCTGGAAATAGCTGACAAAACATTGGTTTAAATGTTTTATTTGAATGACAGCACCTCTGAAAATGCAATGCAACACTTCAGCGCTTCAATAGTGTCAGCTTGGACCATGAGCTTGAGTCCTGATGGTGGGTTTGAATCTAAAACAACAACAAATTACATTTGTGTAGTGCGTTTCACGTCCAGAGGATATCCCAAGGCACTGGATAGTCAGGAATTTGGACCTGATTAGGGTGTCAGGATCAGGAGGGGAGGAGGGTAGGAGTAGGAGGGTGACCGAAGGCGCGGCAAAGAGGAGGATCTTGAGATGTGCCTTGAAGGAGTCGAGGGAGGGAGCAAGGTGAAGGGACTGTGGGATGAAGTTCCAAAGGGTGGGGGCAGAGAGGCTGAAGGCCCGATATGGCAGGTCAGAGGTAGGAAGGAGCAAGGGCGTGAAGGGCTTTGAAGGCGAGGACAAGACTTTGAACTCAATCCTCTGAGAGATGGGGAGCCAGTGGAGCTGCGCGAGGGTGGGGGTGATAGGGGCACGGAGCCTGGTGTGGGAGAGGACACAAGCTGCAGAGTTCTGAATAATCTGCAGCTTGTGGAGGGAGGAGTTGGGGAGGCCGATAAGGCGGGAAAAACCTTCAAACCCGGAAGCGAGAGTACTACCAACTGAGCCGGTCTGAATCTGTACACGTCTTATACGAGATACTGATAGCTCAGCATCCAGTTGGTAATAAACTAGAGTGCAGCCAAACTGGCCTCCAGACATTAACAAATTGCAACAGCATAATTTTATTATTTTAAAGAGCAATAGAACTCTAGAAATAGCTTTCAATCATTTTCCAGGCTGATGTTTACTCAAACCACAGGTTCTCAGCAAAAAAAACTGTCCTGTATGTTATTACTCAGTAGTTTCTGCATCTTATTAAACTCCTTGCACAATCCTTTACTTTCTATCTTTTTAATTTCTCCTCTCATGAAGTCATTTTGACAACTTTTTTTAGTTTGACACTTCTATGTAATCTTACATTTCAGGGCTAAACAGACTTATAGGGTAAGGCTAGATGGAAATTCTGTCCACAAGTCTTGGCATTTCAGTTGGAGCTATCAGAGACTATCTCTAGATACAACAACTTACATTTATAGAGTATATTGCCCTCGTGCAGGGTGACATCTACATTCCTAGGTTTTGTGAGGCTCTTTGCCCTTGTGGTCTTCTCCAGACTGAGATAATAAATATGTGTAAAAAAAAATCAGAGGTCCATATTTCTTGCTGAACTTCCAGATTACTAAACCTAGTTTTATGCAGGGTTACTTGGGGATCTCAATCCTCCTTACATGATAGAAGTTGTACAGGGTTTCCACAATATTCCACAGCCAAGCAATCAGCAAATACACTGCAATCCAGAGCAGAGACTTCTGCCTTAGAGGAGTCAAAATTCAGCAATCAAAGTGTTGAATTGCACCGTTAGTGCAAGGCTGCAATATCTTGTTCCCTTTTTTAAAAAAAAACGTTTTAGTAGAAACTAAAATAAAATGATTGATGGAATTCCTTTCTTTACATCCCTTATCATTAATTTAAAACCTGGGTGCCTTGAGATTCTGGTAGACGTTAAGTGACACTCAGCCCCTCGCCTGCCCCCCACCTACTATTCCAATGAGTTTCGCTCCTTTGTCCTGGTTTATATTCGGCTTATATCCAAATTTACCCCTAAAGAGTCAACTTAACTGGATATTCATCTCATTGCTTGTTTAGGATGTTGCAGCGCAAATGCTCTGTGGTGTTTGCCCCGAGGACACCATTAACTTGATGCGAAATTAATCTAATTTTGCGTAGTGCTTTGAGAAGTTTGTTTGCGTGAAAGCCCTTGGATAAATGTACATAAGCAGTCGGGTTCCCCGCCCCTCCCACCCCCACCATCAGCAGGTCAGGCCTTCAACCTCTGTGCCTGGACCCTCTGGAATGTACCCAGTCCCTCGGCTTCGCGCTCTCCTTTGAGGCGCTTCTCAAGACCCTTCTCTTCAAAGGCACCTTTGGGTCACCCTCCAACCTCTACTCACCCACAACTTAGCTCTAAATCCCTGACTGTCCAGCGCCATGGGACTTGTTTGGGTTGAGAGAGTGGTTGGGGTGGTGTGAGGGCGGGGGGGGGGGGGGGAGGGGGGAGGAGTACAAGTTGACCGTTAAAAACCGTTAGAAGCAGCTGGGATTCAAACCCCGATCGGGTGACGTCAACGCACGAGCTCACGGCGATATGATGGGCTGCGCATGCGTCCATGTGCCTATTGCCGGCGAGCTCCGGGTGTGACGCACCGGCCGCCGAGACACGGAAGCAGGGCCGGGCTCCGAGTAATTGAGAAGCAGGAACCGCGAGCAACAAGTGTCTGGGATCGGACGGATAACCATCGGGAACCTTTCGCGCTCGGCGGTAAACGTCGGGTGAGAGAAACTACAACTCCCAGTGGTCTCCGGGGCTGTACGCATGTGCACCGAGCCCGGCAGAGAGTGCGCCTGCGCCGCAGGGAGTCTGCTGACCCGGAAGAAGCAGCGGCTGTGGAGTCTGTGCTGGAGGCAGAGGTGTTAGAGCTCAGGTGAGGCTGTCAGGGCTGTGCAGTCACACTCATTTCTCCAGCCAGGGGGCAAACTCTTCTCTCACCCACCCAGAGGGCTAACTTCCCCCACCCAGGGGTTCAGCATGAACCCTTATCCCTACTTAGCACATATGGAGAAATTCCTGGGGCTGTCATGCTTTTCATCATCATTTTGTTATGTTCTCTCCATCTGAGGCATCAGCTGCTTTACGTTAGTCCTTTACTCAATCAGAGGAGCACCGTGTAGCAAATTACAGTGAGCTGGAGGTGTCTGTTAGTTAACTGGGGTTCTTGAATACCAGGCAGAGATTTGCAGCCTGGAATCTAATCAAAGGTTTTGGATGACTTTCTGAAGCAAGAAATTAGTTTTAAACCACGGTCTGTTGCGTACTGTCTTGTGTTAGTTCGTGTAATAATCCTGATTTACTTGATTTTTTTATATAGTTTTCCTGGGCAGAATTGAAATGATGCAGAAGTATTTTACAGAAGGACAGGTGTACACGGTGCCAATAATCCAGCCGGACCTGCGCCGGGAAGAGTCCATTCACCAGATCACTGATGCTCTTCAGTATCTCCAAAAAATCTCCAATGATGTCTTCACGAGGTATGGGTAATAAGTATTATGGGCAGGAATAGACTGGGGCCTATCCTGAGTGAGCTAGCTCGCTCAGGATACGTTTTTAAGTGCTGAACAGGCTAGTAGGAAAAATTGAATCCACAGGTTGTTCCATGTGTTCATCCCTGAGGGGCTTGTTGCTGTTTGGGAGAGTGAGTAAATGAACTGCACTCAGGATGAAGTAGAGGTAGCCTTTGAACTTTGTTGTGCTGTACACTTTATTGAGGTGGACTAAACCGATTATGATTTAATTCTGGGTGACTTGTTTAGTCTAATTTTTGATGTGCATTAATTTAGGTGCAAGTGCATTTTATTCTGGGATTCTGCCCTCTTCTTGTCCTTTACACGTTAGGATAATTGAAGTCAGAGTTCAGATTGTATTGGCTAGTTCAGGGCTATGGGTAAAAGTCCAAAGCTCATACCTTGTTGGCATCATTGCAATATCTATTAATGAGAACTATTTCTGGAATAATACTATAAAGTGATATGCAGTGAGAAAACTCGTTGCAATGAATGTTCACATTGTGCCCTGACCTCTGGAAGCTGTGGACGAATCCAGTCCATTTTGATTTGATGAAAGTCTCCTTTGTCTTAAATGATTTTATGAAAAGAATTACCCGCTTGACCAACCTGATTGAATTATTTTGTAGATGTAACCGATAAAGCAGATAAGGGAAATGCAGTGGATATGACGTATCTGGATTTTCAGAAGGCCTTTGATAAAGTGCCACATGAGAAGTCCATGATTAAAATAGGGGCTTGAGGAATCATGGGAGAGGTAGCATTAAAATGCATTAAAGATTGTTTTGGAAATTGAAAGCAAAGGGTAAGAATTATGGGCATCTTCTCAGGCTGGCAAGAGGAAGGAAGTGGTGTGCCACAGGGAACCATGATGCTGTTCATCATATATGGAAATTATTTGGATTCGGGTATACGAGGCGTGGTGTTAAAATTTGCAGGTGACACCAAACTGTGAATGGGATTGCAGAAGAATACAGGAAGACATAAACAGGGTAGCAGAATGGACAGGTAGGTGGCAAATGAAGTTTAATATTGGAAAATGTGAAGAAATTCACTTCAGCAGGAAAAATAAAGAAGCTGTCTATAAGTCTTGAAGGTAGGAACCTGAGAGGAGTGGAGGGGCAGAGAGATCTGGGATTAAGATTCAAAAATCTCTAAAAGTAGTTACACAGGTAGATAAGGCTATAAAAAAGGCAGTGGGGTCTTGGGCTTAAAATCCAGAGGGATAGAATGTAAAAGTGAGGAGGTGATGTTGAATTTATACAGTACCTTGGATACAATACTCCACATTTGGAGTATTGTGTCCAATTCAGTTCTCCACACAAAAACAAGGGTACAGTAGTGATGGAACGAGTACAGCAAAGGTTTACAAGAATGATTGCCCGGCTGGCAGGTTACTGCTATCAGGATAGACTGGATAGGTTAGGCCTTTTTTCTTTTAAGAGACATTTCCAGTGTTTAAAATTATAAAAGGATTCGATAAGATGAACATAAAGAGTCTGTTTCCACTGGTTGGGGAGTCCGTAACCAGACCACACAAATATAAGATAGTGACTTGGGGATCTAAAAGAGAATTTAGGAGGAACTACTTCACATAAGGATGGTGAGATTTTGGAACTTGCTGCCTCAAGTGGTGGTTGAATCAGATAGTGTAGATGCATTCATGAGGAAGTTAGATCTTCAATTGAGAGTGAGCGGAATAGAAGGGTATGCGAGGGAGTAAGGATTGGGTGAAGACTCACATGGAATAAAAACACCAGCATGGACAGATTTGGTGGAGTGGCCTGTTTCCATATTGTATGTTTATTGTAAACTTTTTAATCCTGTACACAAATCAATATAAAAAAAGTAGCTTTTACATGGATGCTTATACAACAACAACAACAAGATTCCATTTATAAAGCGCCTTTCACGTCAGGAGGACGTCCCAAGGCGCTGCACAGTTGGGTCATGACCCGAGCAGGGGGGAAATGGTCAGGGTGAGGGGAGGGAAGGGAGGAGCGAGGAGGGGGAAGAGAGTCGAGAGGGGAGCTGAAGGCACGGTCAAAGAGAAAGGTCTTGAGACCGGCCTTGAAGGAGGAAAGGGAGGAGGCGGCGAAGGCACTGGGGGATGGAGTTCCAGAGCCTCGGGGCTGAGAGGCTGAAGGCCCGACCACCGATGGTAGGGCGGTTGGGGCGGGGGACGTGGAGCAGACCGGAGCCAGAGGAACGGAGGGTACGGGCAGGTAGGTAGGGGGATAGTAGGTTGGAGAGATAGGAGGGAGCAAGGCCGTGAATGGCCTTGTAGGTGAGGATGAGGATCTTGAAATCAATCCTCTGGGGGATGGGGAGCCAGTGGAGGCGAGCGAGGGTGGGAGTGATGTGGTCGCGAAGCCTGGTGCGGGACAGTACACGAGCTGCAGAGTTCTGAATGACCTGCAGCTTGTGGAGGGAGGTGGCGGGAAGGCCGGCGAGGAGAGAGTTCCCATAGTCCAGCCTTGAGGTGACAAAGGCGTGAACCAGGGTTTCAGCAGCGTGAGGGGTGAGGTAGTGCCGTAGTCTGGCGATGTTCCGGAGGTGATGGAAGGCGGTGCCAGTTGTGGTGCGGATGTGAGGGAGAAAGGACAGCTCAGGGTCGAACAAAACGCCGAGGTTCCTGACTGGCTTTGAGAGGTGGAGAGTGCAGCCTTGGATGCTGATGGTGTCAGCGCCTGAGGTGCGGAGGCGCTGACGTGAGCCAATCAGGAGGGCCTCGGTTTTTCGCACGTTGAGCTGAAGAAAGTTGTCTCTCGTCCAGGACTCGATGTCGGACAGGCAGGCTGTCAGGACATCGGTGGTCGTGGAGTTGAGAGTAGAGGAGGAAAGGTAGAGTTGGGTGTCATCCGCATACATGTGGAAGTTAAGTCCATGTCTGCGGATGATGTCACCGAGGGGGAGCATATAGAGGGTGAAGAGGAGGGGACCAAGGACAGAGCCCTGAGGGACACCACATGAGACAGTGCGGGGGGTGGAGGAGAAGCCATTCGTCGAGACAAAGTGAAGACGGTGGGAAAGGTACGACCTAAACCATTCAAGGACAGTGCCTTGTACATACATACAGAATAACTACTTAGTTGAGGTAACAGAGTTAATTGCATCCATACAACAGGCCCATCCTTTGAGGAAGGGAGAGAGAAGAGAATAAACACAGATAAACTTCACATTTGCCCAGAAAATATTAATTCTTGAATGAGGAATCTGAAGCTGCAGTAGTCTTTCTCATTTTATTTATTTATATACTATCAGGGTGGTCCAACCTTTTGGCTGCTGAGGGCCAAATTCCCTATTTGAGAAAGGTCAGTGAGCCATATATTGTGTTTCCCTTCCAGAAACATAACTACAATTACACAGCACCTTATTAATGTTGGAAGAACATCTCCAAGTGCTCACCACTGTTGGCTAGGCACCTGAGCTGCGGGTAGGAGCCGAGAGGGGAGGGGAAAAATGACCGAAAGCGTGGTCAAAGAGTAAGGTCTTGATGAGTCTTGAAAGAGAGGAGGGAGTCGGAGGGACTCCGGGAATGGAGCTCCAGAGAACTGGGACAAATTGGTGATGGTGGGGCAGATGGGATGGGGGGACATGAAGCAAGCCGGTGTTTGCTGGGCAAATTGAATGACCAGGTCAGGAGGTGTGCAGAGATAAGATGGAGAGGTTGGGGATGAAGGACATAGAGAAGTTTCTAACTGGGGAAAGAGAGGAAACTGCACAATATGTCACTCGGTGACTTGTCCTTGTTTCCTCCACGGCGGCTGAGGGAGGCTCTGATCGTCTGTCCTGATTATGAACCGAAACATCGCTCTCACTTCACCCCTCTCTAATCTGCTCCGTCTCACTCTTTGTTTCTCTCTCTCTCCCCCTTTCCCTGATGCTCTCTCTCAATCACTTTCTCCCCTATCTCTCACACTCTCTCTCCCTCTCTCACACACACTCTCTATCCCTTCTCACACTCTCTCTCCCCCTCTCTCAATCACTTCCTACCCTCTCCCTTTCTCAATTACTCTCTCACCCCCCCCATTCCCTCACACTAAATCTCTCAATCATTCTCCTCCACTTTTCCTCTCACACTATCTCTGTCTGCTCCTCTCTCTATATCACTCTCCTCTCTCTTTCTCACACACTCTTCACCTCACCCACCTCTGTCTCTCACACACTCTTCCTTTCGCACACCCTCTCCCTCTCCCACACACACACACACTTTCTCTCACTCTCTCTTTCTCTCAATCTGCAGCGGTTGGAGACAACGGTTGCTAAGGACACGGTTGGTAAGACACGCGTTTGCTTTCCTGACAGACTGCAGTAACAGCACACTGCAGCAGTGGCAAGAGCCGGCGGTTGGGAGGATGCAGTAGAAATAAGACTGTGTAGTGCGTCCTTCCAAGCTGCGTCCCCCCAACCGCCAGCTCCTGCCACTGCCATAAGAACACCGTTCGCTGGGGAGGGAGCCAATGGGCGGTCAGATGTTGGAAATGGTCTCCAGCCAGATAAAATCCTCCACTGGGCCGCCTGTTGGACCACGCTGTACTATATCATCAGCAGTGAAACCCAGCATCAATAATTCCCAAACCCTCTCTTGATCAGGAATTCCATACAAATGAGAGTCAGCAAATGGGAAATAGTTTTGGACCTCGGGACTTTTATTCAGAGAGGATTGGGATTTGATTTGGGTTGTCAGAATTCTATACATTGTCCAGGCAGGACCCCTGATGGTGATAAATAGCATCAGGAATAAACGCCAGCGAGCTTCCAGCAAACTGTCCAGAAATATCTTTCTGAATCTTAAAATGATTGAGCTGAAGCTCACAGTTAGATGATTCTCCCTGACCTGACAGTTCCTTGACCTGATTGCTTCGAGCTGTAATGTTTCAATGAGTGTGCAAGTGTACCAATCTTTGATACAGGCTTCATTTCACTTCAGAATTGAATTCTCATTTACATTCTTGCTTTGGAAA